TGATTGTATAACTGCTAGCCTCTCCCTTACTAAGTTAGTGAATATGAACAAAGTTGCAAATACAAATTTAGTATGTTTTCCTCCACTTATTTTCATATGGTTAATACCTTGTATTTTATTGCCAGTTTCACTTGATTTATTTCACACACAGACACATTTGATGCACACATAAAATACAGGTGTGTGCATATAGATTATTGACTTAAAGTGGATTCCTTATTTTCATCTTCAGAAAAGTATACTATGAGAAATCATTTTACTATTCAAAACTTTTAAAATAGTTTGAGTCTGAAGTTCTCCATATTGAATATTTGTGTGTATTATTTGATTGGATTTTAAACTATCTTTAGTATTTTCCTGTTTACAAAAAGAACATATGTTCCTTTGCTTTTTAGTTAGTATATTCTAAAATTTTACCAACTCTATGAAACGGTAACCTGAGAAATCACTATTTTCAATGACTAAACTTTTTTCAGGTAAACTGAAGTAATAGGATTTTTACCAGACTATCAATCTTTGTAACTAATATGTGACCTTAAAAATAAGAATATACTGGTAAAGAAAAATGATTGAAAATATTACAGTGCCTCTCTTTTCTTTTACCTACTTATTCTTACCTGGATTCTTTTGAGTTCTAGGTGGAGAAGTTTTCAGTGAGAACTCTTACATACCAGAGCAATACTAATCAATTGGAGAAGCCCAGGAAAGAAGCTTTTATTACCAAGGGATTTATATTCAAACAGTTATTTGAATTATGAGAATAATAATGGCATTGAAACTGTTAATTGGAAAAAAAAATTATTATTCCAGACAGTTTTACAAATATGACCAAGTTTATCGGTCTACTTAGTAGGAACATCTTGGTTTCACTATTAAAATTAATTTTTATTTATATAAATATGGTTTATTTAAATATTTTCCTAGGAATAGTAGAAAAGATTTTCAAGAAGAAAAATAGCTTAAAAAATATTTTAAGTTTCAACATCACTATCGCCCCTAATAAGAAGACATGATTTAGGTCCAAAGCCTGAAAAGAAGTTAGGTTTTAAAAAACATTTCTGAAAGGTGATATTATTCATTCCACACATTCAGAAGACTAGGAGATTATTAAAACAAAATGTTTCTGTAACTAGACCTATAACTTAACTGGAACTTAAGGTCAGATGTTGCATCTCCTTAATCTTAGTGGTATTTTTCCCTTTGCAGTTACTTTTCTTAGCTATGTTGTATCCGTTATCAGGCTCAGAGGTTAAGCTAGAAAAAAGTTGTTAGGGCTTTTTGTTGTTCTTATCTCCATGCTGAGGCTTTCTAAGTTGAAAACTTTCTATATGTTAACATAACTATTTTAGTACAGCACTAACTCAGATTCTTGTATATAGTTAATTTTTCGAGTTATATCTATGGCATCACTTTATGCCCTCGAAGAATTAGCAAAAAACTCACATGAGAGCAAATATGCCATCTGTTGGGGATAAAAGTTTACCCGCCCCTCCAAGTTATATCATCTCTTTTAATACCTTAGAAAAAATGAGATATCAGGTTTGGTATATATTTAATGTTTGATCATGCAACTCTTTTTTTCTTCTTAAAAATATTTTTATTGATTTCAGAGAGGAAGGGAGAGAGAGAGAGAGAGAGAGAAATAGAAACATCAATGATGAGAGAGAATCATTGATCGGCTGCCTCTTGCACACCCCCTTCTGGGGATCGAGCTCGCAACCAGGGCATGTGCCCTGATCGGGAATCGAACCGTGACCTCCTGGTTCATAGGTTGACTCTCAATCACTGAGCCATGCCGGCGGGGCTAATCATGCAACTCCTTTTGCCAGTATTTTGTAGACTGATTATCATCTGTGTGTCCACTGTTTCTTTAAGGCATATGGATATTTGATGTAGTTATGAGGGGATAAAGTGTGGAGGTGCATCACTTGGCTGCCTTCATATGTAGTGGGAATGCAGCCAGTGTGTTTCTGTAGCACAGTATGAGCAGTCAAAATGTTAGTGCATAATAATAGTGGATGTTCATTGTAATAATTGTGTCATCAAGAAAATGTTAATGGTGTTACTCTATTTGAAGATGTGCTGTTTAAGGAGGCAGAACAACTATTTTAGAAGCAGTTGGATTTAGATTATTTTCTGTTTTCTGTAGATTTTAACTGTTAAACACAATTATCTTTCAACTACCTGGAAAACTTATTTTACTATACCCAGGAGGATTTGTGATGGGAGGATTTGTGATGGCTAGGATTTCATTATTTTATGGAGAAATAATTTAGATCAAGATCCATTTTTTATTTATTTTTTAATCCTCACCCAAGGACATGTATTTTTTTTATTTATTTATTTATTTATTTATTTATTTATTTATAGAGAAAGGAAGTGAGAGAGAGAAACATTGATCAGTTGCCTTCAATATGTGCCTGACTGGATGGATGCTCCAGCCAACTGATCCACCTGGCCAGGATTTTTTTATTTGTTTGTTTGTTTTCACATTTAAAATACCTTAATATGGAGACTGGTATCTGAAGGAGCTGATGTTCACATATTGATATTTAATAACTATGAACCAGAGTTATAGAAATAAATGTATTGGGTGAAATGGAAGATAACATGTGAGCAAAGATTACTATACTTCTGAAAACTAATTTCTAAAAATAAAATGTATGGGGAAATAATAAGAATTAATTTATAAATAAGAGATGTGTACTATTCTGATAAATATGGACCAAAATGGCAAATTAAAATAAGTTAAGTGTACTTGAGCAGTTCACAAATCTTTTACTTTCAAGCTTCATAATTTAGTAAGGTCTTGAACAATAACTATTGAGTAGTACTTTATGATTGTAAAAACAAAACCTCTTGAATAAAAGCTATTCTTGTTAAGGGAAGATGAGATCTCATATAGCATCTTAAACATATAATTAATGAATGGATGGAGTAGAAAAATTGTAGTGTCCAATAAGCAGTTTTAGAGCATTCATAAATATTGAGATAATCATGTGCTGATGCTGAATTCACTGCTGGTTATCACTTAGAAGTGTGTTATATATTATTTCTTGATTGGACCCTGAAATTTAGTTCTGTGTTTCTATTTGATTGTTTGATACATGTTTCTGTCTTCCTCTAGTAACTGTCTGTATGTAACTTGTAGTAACCGATTAATTCCTATATAGTGGAAAAAGCCTTTGGGAGGTAGGGAGTGGGATTGGCGGTAAGAATGGATTAAATGGCAGCTTTGGCACCTTTCCCTGTGCCAGAAAGTAGAAGCCAGGTGGGGTTTGGAGAGAGCTGTGAGGAATTCACTGACACTTCTGTAGCTCTGAGATACACAGAGAATTCATAGCCAGTATATACTAGAAACTTGCTGACTCAGTGCCTGTGATTTTTTTGGGGGCTGGGGAGCAGAGCATCATGTTAGTGCCCCTCCAAAATAAATAAATAATAAAGTGTTGGTCCCAAAATAGGTTTTCTCCCCTTTGTGTTTAGAGTATTTGTTACTGGGAAGTGAGGATTATATACAATATTCTAGGGGCCCGGTGCACAAAATTCGTGCACGGGGTAGCGGGGGGGGGGGGGTGGAGGGTCGTTCCCTCAGCCCGACTTGCACCCTCTCCAATCTGGGAGCCCTCAGGGGAGCCCTCTCCAATCCGGGAGTTTCTGTCTGTCCTTGCAATCATATGAGTGAATTGTCTGAGACCCCAACCCAGTTTGGTTTGGTACTCACAGAATAATAAAGGTCTTTTTTTCTTCTTTGCTCCATTGGTGGAGATTTCCTAGAAGTTGCAGGATATCTTCCTTTTAATTTTTCCTTGACACTCTGACTTTATTTATGTCTCTCACCTTTGCTTTCCTTCCATCCTCCACCGCAACAGTAACTTGCTCCAGACTCACTTTGCTCTAGTGCAGTGGTTCTCAACCTTCTGGCCCTTTAAATACAGTTCCTCATGTTGTGACCCAACCATAAAATTATTTTCATTGCTACTTCATAACTGTAATGTTGCTACTGTTATGAATTATAAATATCTGATATGCAGGATGGTCTTAGGCAACCCCTGTGAAAGGGTCGTTTGACCCCCAAAGGGGTCGCGACCCACAGGTTGAGAACCGCTGCTCTAGTGTCTAGGAGATCCCGCAACGCGGTCTGCCACCAGAACTACGATTCCCAGCATTCCTGGTGCTCCCCACGCTCTGGGCTTCCGCTTCCCGTCCAGGGGCTGCCACCAGAACTATGATTCCCAGAATTCCTGGTGCGCCCTGCACTCTTGGTTTCTGCTTCCGGTCCAGGGGCTGCAGAAACCAAAAGGACTGGGAACTCCAGCCGCCCCCAGGCCGGGCTGACAGGACTGGACACTCCAGTGGTGTCCCCGGGACCCCAGCCACTCGGCGCCGGCACGCATGCGCGCTGGCCATAGGCTCGGTGTGGGTGGGGTCCCGGAGACGCCTGCCGCGTCACCCCGGCTACACGGCGGGTGTCCCGCCCCAACCCCGGCCACTCGGCGCAGGCCCGCCATCTTTGTCGGGTTAATTTGCATACTCCTGATTGGCTGTGGGTGTTGTGGAGGGATGGTCAATTTACATATTTGTCTATTATTAGTATAGATTCTCACAAGGCCACATTGTATTCCATTGTGTAAATGTGCCACAGCTTTTTTATCCACTTACCTACTGATGGGTGCTTGAGCTATTTCTAGATTTTAGCTATTGTAAATAATCTGCCATGAACATAGGGGTGCATATATTCTTTTTGCTTGGTGTTCAGGGATTCTTAGGATATACTCCCAGAAGTGGGACCACTGATCTTGATAGCACTGCTTTTTACAGACAGGGTGTGAGAAAACAGTTTAGTGAATGGTAGGGTGCTGGTTTACTGAGGTGTATGAATATTGGTGCCAACTTAATTCTAAATCTTTTCCTCTTAAATGAGAAGTGATTATATCAAAATTATCTTAAGTGTGTGGAATTAAAAAAACAGTCATCATGAAAACTATTTTTTTTAATAGGAGGAGTATGTCCAGCTTGTTACAGAACTTCGAATGACAAGAGCCATTCAACCTCAGATCAATGCTTTTCTCCAAGGCTTTCATATGTTCATTCCACCTTCCCTCATACAGCTGTTTGATGAATTTGAGTTGGTAAGGAAAAACATCAGCTCCTTTATCGCAACACAACAATACAAAACTCCAGTCGATGTAACTCAAAATAATTTTGGAGTACTGAGGTGCATGGAATAATGTATAAGACATATGGTTTAATATTCATGTTTAGAGATTTGTTACAACATTTGTGATTGTGCTTCTCTTAAGCTTAATAACCATATTAGCAATTCCTTAATGTGAAATGGAATGCAGTGGTGATAAAAATGGAATATTGTTTCCAAAGTACTGTACATGGAAGAAGCTGAGGGTCAGTCATCCCAAAAACAAAATTCCATATTTCTGAATTTTTTTATTTGGCCATCTGTGGTAAAAAAGAATACCAATATAAACTTCTCATACTTCCAAAGAGAAGACTTTTGATTAAGTTTTTTCTTGTTATAATTGGGTTTTCTTTTCAGCTTCTTATTTCATCATATATATAATTTTATAATTTTCCATTTCAAAACTCTGTGAAGGCCACTCTCTTTGCTAGCCCCCATTCTCTAATGAATGTTTTATTATATTTAATTTGTCTGCCTTTTACTGTGATCCAATGGGATTTCTGCTATTATATGATTTATGTCTGCATTTTCCCTTATTTCCTTTTTCTCTTTTATTTTTGGTACTAAATTGTTTCCAAACTCTCTAAGTTTCTAATTTCTTAATAAAACACAGTATTGTAAATAGAGTATCATTTTTAAAAAGTATAATTTGGAAAATTAAATTTTAGGTCAATGGGAAGTATTGTCGTAAGTGTTTCCCTCCATGTCCTGCGTGGTTCAGGGTTCGGGTCTGGTAGAGGAGCCGCACACAAATGAAAGAGAAAAGACACGAGATAATTTGGAAATATTGGGGGACCAGGCGGGCAAGTCCAACTCAAGGAGAAGGACTTCCATTGTGCTCAGGCCTCACCAAGCTTTTTATAGTGAGAGGTAAACAAGGTAGTGGTTACCATAGTTACACAGTTCTTGTGAGTTTCACTTGTTTTGACCATGGTTACACTTCCTGCACTTCCTCAGCCCATTAGCTTCCCAGATAAGATCTAGGGAGTGTTATAAGGTCAAGCCTAATTATGCTAAGAGGACTGTGTCTAAGCTGGGACTTGTTTGTGACTTTGCCAACAGGTCAGTCCAAGGCTTAACCCTATATCAGTTTCCTACAAAGTATCCTTTGGTTTTATTCTGTTTCATAAAATTAGTTTTACCCTATGCCCTTCATTTTAATACATGAATAAGTGCAATGGTGTATACCTTTAATTTTACACATATACCACAATTCTCAATTTTTTTTCACTCATGGTGTATCTTAGTAAAGTAGTGGACAGAATTTGCTAATTAAATTTTGAAGTCCCTTGTGATTTAGTTTCATTAAATATCAGTTTTGAGGCCCAGGCCAGGTCGCTCAGTTGTTAGAGCATTGTCCTGATAACGCCAAGGTTGGATCCCCACAAATCGATTTCTCAAATCAAAAAAACAGAAAAAACACAAAAAACCCAGTTTTGAGTTTTTTTGGTTCTGTTTTTAGGTTTAGGATTAATGGTTTTGTTTAGCATAGACTTGTCTAGTTTTAGCATAACCATAAAAGTTACTTTTAGCATTTAAAAATGGAGGAGTACTTATGAACTGTTAAACAGAGAATTACATTATTTCTTGGACCTATGGTGTTAAAAACCAATAGCAACAACATAAACCATTGACAAAAACTTTGCCTCATAATTTACTGATACTTATAAATTCTGTGAAACTTATTGAATTACAGTATACATAGAGAAAAGTACATGCATTATAAATGTATAGTTTGATACATTTTCATAAGCTGACTACACCCGTGAAAACAGCACCCAGATTAAGAAATTGACAGATCCTAGTGCCCCAGATGCCCCTTTCATGTCCCCTTTCACTAACTATCCCCAGTCATGGACAACCACTCTCCTAACTTTTAATATCATAGGTTAGGTTGCCCGTTTTTTAATTTAATATAAATGAAATAATCACCTAGAATATATCTGACTCCTTTGGCTGGGCTTTTTGTTTGTGAGAGTTATACTGTCGTTGCATGCAGTGTAAATTGTTCATTTTCATTGCTTTATGGTAGGTATTTCATTGTGTCAGGATACTGTTTTATCTTTTCTCCTCTTAAACATTTGGTAAGTACTTTTTAGTTTTAGACTATTTGAAATAGTGCTGCTACATACATTCTAGTACATGTCTTTAGGAGAAATATGCATGCAATCTCTGTGTTATATACCTTGGAGTAGAATTGCTGCCATATATGGTGGGTATTTATTACATTACAATAGATACTAGCAAATAGTTTTCCAAAGTGGTGTGTCAAGTTACACCCTCACCACCAGGTCTGGAAGTTCTGGGTGTTCCCATTCTTCACAGGCATTTGATAACTTGATTTTGCATTTTTACCATTTTGGTGGATTGGTAGTGGTATTTCATCATGATTTTAATTTGCATTTCCCTAATGATCAATGAAATTGAGTGTGTTTGATATGTTTATTAGCTGTTTGTGTACTCTGGTTTTGAAGTGTTAAAGTAATTTGTCCATTTTTTCTATTGTGTTTTCTATTTTCTTTGTTACTGATCCCTAGGATTCTTTATATATTCTTTATAGGAGTCTTTATTAGATATATGTATTCCACTTTGGGTCTTAGTTAATAAAGTTTTTAGTTTTAGCACAGTTCAGTTTATCTTTTTTATTTTTTTTAAATGAATGGAGCTTCTTGTATCCTTTTAAGAAATTGTTTCTTATTCCAAGACCATGAAGGTATTTTCCTATAATTTCTTCTAAAAACTTTATTCCTTTGTCTTTCACATTTAGGTCTGCTACTGATAAATTTTCAATTGTGCTTATATTAGAAGTTAGGTTAGGATTCCTGGTGTGTTTTAGACTCTGGCCTTAAAACTAAGTTGAACTGATTTAGATGGTAAGATTATTTGGGAAGTACAGTGTTAAATAGAATAATAAAGATCTTTCATTCTCTTCATAAAAAGTTATAACATGATTTTCATGAAATAGCTCAAAATCTTAAGATAATAAAGCCTCAGTCATTTTTATTCATAATTATTGGCAATGAAAGCATACTTAATATTATTAAAAGCTTACTTTAGCTTAGAAGGAAAGAAGATTAAGCTCATATTTAAGACATGCGTAAAATTCATTCTCCCTCCCTTTGACAGGTCTGTTTCAAGGTCCTGCCACAAAACCCAATTTCCCCAGATGGTTTAAATAAAGGAGCGTTAACAAAGGGACTATTATAGAGGTGCAGGCAGTGTTAAGAATAAATAAGATTTGGTGAGACATCCAGAGACTAGCTGCAGTGGAAAGTCTTTATCACCTCTGGAATTGAAGAGACAGGTGGGGGAGTTATTGTAAGAAGCCCTGTGATGAGGAGACATGGCTACTGGAAAGAGGTGCTAAAGCAGGGAGGGAGCGGAAAGTGCTCTCACCTCCAGGCCTCTGCCTGTTCTGTGGTGGAACCCAACCTGAAGCCAGCAGACAAGAGAGCTAGTGTGCCAGGATCAGCCTCCTAGGGCACAGAACAGTGCAAAGAAAAGTGGAGACTCTATTTGTGGCTCATAAATGGATACTAACAGAACACCTTTATATAGTCAAAGTATATATTTTTTAATATTTTTATTGATTTCAGAGAGGAAGGGAGAGGGAGAGAGAGATAGAAACATCCATGATGAGAGAGAATCATGCATTGGCTGCCTCCTACAGGCCGCCAATGGGGACCAAGCCCACAAACCTGGGCATGTGCCTTTGACCGGAATCAAACCTGGGACCCTTTGGTCTGCAGGCTGATGCTCTATCACTGAGCCGAACTGGCTAGGGCTAGTCAAATTATTTTATAATGCCATCATAAGGAGAACGTAACTAGCAGTTCTCAAACAAAAGGTCTTAGGACCTCCTTACGACAAAAGCCTTTTTGTTTGAGTTATATTAATTGATGTTTATTGTATTTGAAGTTAAAACAGAAGTGTAAAATAATTTATTAATTCATATAAAAATAATTTATTGCCTATTAACAAAAAATTTTAAAATTGAAAACTATTTTCCAGAATGAAACAAAAATAATGGGAAGAGTGGCATTATTTTATATTTTTGCAAGTTTAATGTCTGGCTTAATAGAAGACAATGGGTACTCATGAATCTGCATCTGCACATTATCTGCTGTGATATGTTGTTTGGTTGAACTGTATGGAGAAAATCCAGCCTTAGATAAGTTGGAAAAGAGAGAACCTTGCAGACTCCTTGAATAGATCTCAGAAACACCCAAGAGTTCTCAGACACCACCTTATACTAACTTTCATTAACCTTCAAAGTACACTCTGTACTAGTCTGGTATATATTACGAGTAGTTGCTGTAGGAAACGTGATTTTGAACCACATTGCATTGATGTCTCTGTAATAACACATCCTGCTGTTCCAGCTTGTCCGTGGTTTAGTTAAGTGTAGGCTGGTTATTGCCTCACCTGTCTCTGTAAATAAGCCCAACTGTGATTCAGAGGTGTGGACAAGCTCTTTTTCATGTTTTCTTTTCTCTTGGAAAACATAATGGTAAATACTTTTGCCATTCTTTATTTCATTTTGTAGTTATTTGATTGCTATTTTGTTTATTTGATGATCTTTCTGGGAAAAAGGAGGCTACCAAAGTCATTAGGAAATTGCATTTTTTTTCTCACCTTGGGGAAAGTTGACATTAAAGATCTGAATTATTCCAGAATAGTTCTGCAAAGGCCTGAATCTTTTTTTTTTTAAATACATTTTTATTTTATTACTTTCCTTTTCCTAATGATTAGGATTTTTTGATGATGTTTTCCTTTGCTTAATCCAGGATTTATTCAGGTGTTTGTTGTTGTTACTTTCATATTGAGAAAATGGTTCTTTATATAATTTAACAAATTCATAAAATAAAAATAACCATAAAGATAATGTTCATAAAAGTATTGCACATATAAGCTGTTGCTGCATAAGTGTTTATCTATAAACATCAAGTATTGTCTCCTTATGTTTTAATTAAATTATATCAATGTAGAGACATCTGCACAGCCTACAGTATTTGAGATCATCGGTATCAAGGGTTCTCTCCCATGTAGTACTTGTTATTGATGACATGCAGACACTGTCACAAAAATAAATCGCTTTTACATGGAATTAGTTTCTAATTAAGGCAAATTTACTCTTTAAATGTAATAGGTTTGTGTGTTTTTTCCCCCAAAGAAGAATAATGAAATATTTTTCTTCTTCCCCAAAGGAGCTACTGCTTTCTGGCATGCCAGAAATTGATGTGAGTGATTGGATAAAAAATACAGAATACACTAGTGGCTATGAAAGACAAGATCCAGTTATTCAGGTAAAATTTCTCTAGAGCTTAGAATGAAGTTAAGTTATACCATTTAATTTTGTAAGCTTTTCAGCACTATTGGATGAAAACCTACCTTAATTAACGAATAAAGTTTTCCTCTAAATTCTTCTTATGGGAATTGCATATGAAAGCTTGGTATGAAATAATTTTTGATAAATGAGTTTCTTAGAATCACATGTGCTTTATGAATGCTGCATACTTCTTGGTATTAAGTCTACGATTGCTCTGAAATGTGAGCTACGTTTTTTGTTCTCATTTTGTCAGTGGTTCTGGGAAGTTGTGGAAGATATTACTCCAGAGGAGAGAGTTCTTCTCCTGCAGTTTGTTACTGGCAGGTAGGAAGTGTTTTTATGATAATGGGAAAGTAATTTAATGTATTCCATTTCTAATGGCTTAGAGATAAACAACCAACATGAATTATTACTCTGAATTGTCAGTTTCTTATCTCCCTTTCCACTTTTATGATATTAAACAAAGATTTATTTAAGCATTTAAAATAAAACATATATAGTAGTGGTCAATAAATGTGTGTTTAAAATTCTGCAGATTGGTCAATAGTAGTAGCCAGATTTTTAATATTTGTGTGTGCTGGGCAACACACACACACACACACACACACACACACACACACACGTGCACACCACAACACATATAATACCCATACACAGCAGTTTTTCTCCAATTCTTATAAAACTTTACTTTAAATGTTAAGATACATGTCCTAAGAATAATTATGATACCACACTTCTTTGAAAAGTCTTCTTTTGCAACCAATGAAATATCATAGATTAGAAAACTTCTTTTAAGTTATATTTCTGAAAGATGTAAAAAAAAAAGGTTCGATTTTTATTCTTTATAACATAGAATTTTATCTGTTTCCTTCTATTTATTAAAATATAGTTCAGTTGTTCTATTACAAATGTGCATAGTTCTCCTGGGAAAATTGGCACACAGAAAATTAGAAGAATAAAAAAAAATCACACTCTGCCAGCAGTAACTACTATAAACAATGTGATGTATTTACCTTTTTTCTCTGCCTTATTATTTATTTACTAGAGGCCCGGTGCATGAAATTTGTGCGGGGGTGGGGGGTGTCCTCAGCCCAGCCTGCACCCTCTCACAATCCGGGACTGCTGGCTCCTAACCACTCGCCTCTCTGCCTGCCTGATTGCCCCTGACCGTTACTGCCTGCCAACCTGATCGCCCCCTAACCGCTCCCCTGCCAGCCTGATCGCCCCCTAACCGCTCCCCTGCTGGCCTAATTAACGCCTAACTGCTCCCCTGCCAGCCCAATCGCCTCCAACTGCCCTCCCCTGCCGGCTCGATGGCCCCCAACTGCCAGCCCGATGGCCCCCAACTGCCCTCCCCTGGCGGCCTGATCACCCCCAACTGCCCTCCCCTGCCGGCCTGGTCGCCCCCAACTGCCCTCCCCTGCTGGCCTGGTTGCCCCCAACTGCCCTCCCCTGCTGGCCATCTTATGGTGGCCATCTTGTGACGACGTAGGGGGTGGCCATCTTGTGATGACGTGGGGGGCAGCCGTCTTTGTGGCAGCCATCTTGTGACGATGTGGGGGTGGCCATCTTGTGACAACGTGGGGAGCGGCCATCTTGTGATGACATGGGGCGGCCATCTTGTGATGACGTGAGGGCGCAAGGGCCACCTAGGCTTTTATTAGTATAGATTTTTTAAGTGACTGGGAATCTAGCCCACAGTCTTTTGTTGTATGGGACGATGCCCCAACCAACTGCGCTACCCAGCCAGAGTTTTTTTTGCTTTTTTAAAAACATAATTTTGAGTGTGTATCTATATAAGATATATGTATGTAATTTAAGATTCACTGTTGTCTTATTTTTTAAAAATATGTTTTTATTGATTTCAGAGAGGGGGAGAGAGAGAGAAACATTAATGATAAGATAGAATGTTGGATTGACCACCTCACATATGCCCCCTACTGGGGATCAAGCCCACAACCCAGGCATGTGTCCTAACCGGAATCAAACCATGATCTCCTGGTTCTTGGGTCAGTGCTCAACCATTGAGCAACACTGGCCGGGTACACCATTGTCTTATTTTTAAACTAGTATATAAGCATTATAAAAGTTTAGAAAATGGAGAATATAGCTAGAACAAAATGAAAATCCTATTAAGTAATTCCACCACATAGATAATGCTATTAACATTTTACTTTATTTTCTTAGTCTTTTAACTATATGATTAGGAAAATAGTTGGAGTCCCACCATATGTTTAATTTTAAAGAATAAAATAAAACATAAATATTCAGATTGTAGACTACAGCTATGAAAGAAAACCTTGTTAAGTTTTTGGGGTTTTGCTTTTTTAGTGGCTTCTTCATGCCAAGAAATACCCTGTGATTGCGTAACTTAATGAAAATAATTTAATAAAAATTACATTTTCTGTGTAGGAAGGTTAGGCAAATCAAATTTTAAAAAGTCACTCTAAGCTCAATCACTGGAGATAATCACTGTTAACATTGTCGTTATTCTTCCAGAATGTTTCTCACATATATAAATTTTTGCTTTTTAAAGACATTGTCCCAGTTTTATAACTTGAATTTTTCAATATATCACTAAAAATTATTCCATTTATAGATATAATTTTTAAATGGCTGCCTAACTCTTCAATTTATGGACCTCCTTTAATTGATATTCTCCTTTATTGCCAAATTTCCTCATTTATGAATAAGGCTGCAGAAATAAGGAATTTTTGTGCTACATACTTGGTGGGCCAAAATCCTACATTATTTATATAGGATAAATTTTTAGAAGGGAAATTTTTATATAGAAGGTATATTCATTTTTATAACCTTGTTACATATTGCTCATTTATCCTTCAGAAAGATATCAGTTTTCAGATTAGCAGGGAATGAGAGAGGGCCTTTTATTCTATCAAAATTGTAAAATCTTTGGTTTTTTTAAAGCTTACTTTTCAAAATTTAGGTATATGAAGACATTAGCTTAATTACCCTGATAATGAAATACTGTTACAATTTGTGTAAGAATAAGTGTCAAGGCTCGTTTTCTCATCTTGTCCTGATACAGTGTTATACTTGTTTTTTAAATTCTGCCTCTATAGGAAATTGAGAACAGTTTGGTTTTTTTGATCCCTTTTCATTTTTGGTTGCCTTCGTTAATTTTTTTAGGCAAAGGTTAATATGCATAGATTAACTTAAGTTGAATTTTATTTCAGTTGACAGACATATTCATGTCTTCTTCAGATAGTCTTTTGCCCTAAGTAGGAATTGCTCATGCATTAGCATTTTATTAGTAAGACCCACACATACTTTTAATATTCACTTAGACCTCGAAGGTAAGCTCAGGCATTTCATCAGGAAAACATTTAATAGCAACCAAACTGCTTCCCAGCTAGAAAAGAAAATGGCTGTTTTCAGAGATTCATATATAGTGATTGCTAATTTTTTCCCCGGGAGTACATACATATCCATGATTTCAATTTGGTTCATTTTTTAACAGTTTTTATAGTGTGTGTGCTAAAAAATACATAACATTTACCAGTTTTAAATGTGTTTTTATTGATTTTTAGAGAGAGAGGAAAGGAGAGGGCTAAAGAGAGAAACATTGATGAGAGAGCAACATCATCCATTGGCTGCCTCCTACATGCCCCCTACTGGGGATCGAGCCTGCAGCCTGGGTATGTGCCCTGACTGGAATCCAACCAGTGACCTCTTGGTTCATGGGTTGATGCTCAACCACTGAGCAACACTGTCGGGCTTGCATTTTTAAGTGTATACTTCTGTAACATTAAGTACATTTACATTGTGCAACCATCACCACCATCCATCTCCCAAATTTTTATCTTCCTCAGTTAATACTTTACCCAATAAACACTAACTGTCTATTCCTACTCTCCTAGCCCCTGACAACCATTGTTCTCCTGTCAGTCTTTATGGATTTGAATCTTCTAGGTACCTCATCTAAGTGGAACCATACATTGTTTGTCTTTTTGTTACTGGCTTATTTCACTTACCATAATGTCCTCAAGGTTCATCTGTATTAGCAAATGTCAGAATTTCCTTTTGAAGACTAAATAATATTTCATTGTGTATATATACCACATTTTGCTTATCTTTTCACCCATGGAGGTCACTTGGGTTGCATCCACATTTTGGCTCTTGTGAGTGATACTGCTGTGAACATGGATGTTCAAATATCTCATTGATTCTCTGCTTTCAGTTCTTTTGGATATATACTGTAATTCTATGTTTCATTTTTTAGAACCTGCCAGGCTGTTTTCCAGAGTGGCTGCACCATTTTACATTCTCACCAATAATGCCTAAGGGTTTTAATTTCTGCATGTCCTTTCCAATACTTGGTCTTTTCTTTTCTTTTTTCTTTTTTTTGAGGTAGGGGTTGGTGGTTTTTGTTTTATTAATAGTCATCCTAATGTGTATGAAGAAGTTACCTCATTGTGGTTTTGATTTCATTTCCCTAATGACAAATGATTTGGATTAAGCGTCTTTTTCATCTGCTTATAGGCCATTTATGTATCTTCTTTGGAGAACTGTCTATTCAAGTCCTTTCCTTATTTTTAACTGGTTTTCGTTGCTGTTGTTGAGTTGGAGTTTTTTATATTTTTTGGATGTTAATTCCTTATGACTTATGATTTGAAAATATTTTCACCTATTTTGTGTTACGTTTTTACTCTATTCCTGGTATCCTTTGGCATATAAGTTTTTAACTTTGATGAAGTCCAATTTATGTACTTGTCTTTTGTTGCCTGTGCTTTTGGTGTCACATCCAAGCAGTCATTAGTAAATCCAGTGTCATGAAGCTTTCTCCCTATATTTTCTTATAAATATTTTCTTATAAATATTTTGTAATTTTAGCTCTGAAGTTTAGGTCTTTGATTCATTTTGAGTTAAATTTTGTAAGTGGTGTTCATTTTTTTCTGTGGTAGATAACCAGTTTTCTCAGCACAGTTTATTGAAAAGACTGACTTTTTCCCATTGAATATTCTTAGCACACTTGTTGAAAATCATTTGGCCATATCCATATATGTGAAGTCTTATTTTGGGGTTCTCTATATTATTTCATTGGTTTATGTCATCTGTCTTTATGCCAGTTCCACACTGTTTTGATTATTGTAGCTTTGTAGTGTAAGTTTTGAAATCAGGAAGTGTAAGCCCTCTGACTTTGTTCTTTTTTTTCAAGCTGTTTTGGTTATTCACGTTTCAACAGTGTTTTTAAATGAACTGAATTATGGTTTGTACTATGAATCATGTTAGAAAACATTTTTAATATTAGTCTGCTGTCTTTGAGTATGCATTGACACCTATATGTTAAATGCTTACCATTATTCTAATTTATCCAAAAAGCACTAGAACATCTCATTTTAAAAACAATAAAGTTTATTCCAGGATCAGTTTGTTTAATCATGATATATGTGTGTGTGTGTATATATATTTATATATATTTATATGTATAAAGGCTAATTTGAAATACTAATTTTCTTTCAAATGTAAACAATAGAATCTGAGAAGTTGTAAGTACATCCTCTACAGCCATGTACACAAGATTAAATTTTCTGGTGGTGTTTATACATATTGTGTTAGCCTTCCTGTGGTTTGACTATGTTAGGTGACATTAAAAAACAACATCTGATATTGTGAATCTTTGGAAAGAGAAATGTGAAGAATTTTATAGTATTTCCACTGTGAAAAACAAAACAAAATCCTTTTGACCCCAGATACTTTTCAAACGGGAAATTATTTGGATTATATGTTAAGATCCTCTGTTGCTTTAATTAATCAAACAAACATTTATTTATTCAGCAGATACTTAGTGAATGTCTACTAGATACCAATCATTTTGCTAACCCCAGGGATACAAATACAAATATAACATACTTGGGCCCTCAAATCAGTCCCAGTTTAGTAGAGACACACATGAAATAAAATAATTGTACGTGCAGTATTGTAACCGGACAACCAAGGGGTCCGGGCTGCCTGTCGCTACTTCAGCCAATTAAGCAGAGACAGGGTTGAATCACACATGAGCGTTCTTTACAATGATGCCGGCAGTATGGGAGAGCAACAGGTCATCCACAAAAATCTGTTCTGTACCCTACCATAAGCCAGCTGCTTATATTGGGTAGAAGGATAAGATTATGTGGGGAAGTAGGAATTACAGGTATAGGAAAGTGGGCATGGGATAATCAGTACAGGTTACAAGTCATGTGGGCTGGGGGGGAGTTACTGGGTGCCCTGGGACCAGATTACAGGTAATAGGGGCCGGGGGGTTGTAAAGAGCAAGTGCCTCTAGGACTAGGTGCCATGAGGTTGTAAATCTTTCCCTAATGATAGGCAGTTCTCACTAGGAGGACAGACTGCATTCCAATGGTATGTCCCAAGGTGTACAACTCTCAGCCAGGTTAGAATGTGCTTTCTCTAATCAGAACAGAACCATCATGGTTAACAGAGCATGATTAATGTTTGTTATAATTGTAGCTGATCCCCAATATATTCTATTTCTGCCCCTAACAGTATGCTAAATGAATAGTAGAGCTATGTGCTGTGGCTAATTGAAAGCATAGTACAGCTTATAGAAATGTGGAGGGGTGTCTCCATGGAAGCTGGATAACTGGCCACATGGTGACTTTTAGTAATAAGTTGGAGTGCTGCAGATTCAAAAGGATTATTTTGTCAGTGACCTAGAGTTGAATACTTTCTTACCCTATATATCTATAACAAAGATTTTTCTTTAATGATTGCAACATATTAAGATATGAACTGTTAGTTCCAGGGTCCCACATGGTGGATTTGCTAATATCATGGGTGGAAGTGGATTGCAAAACTTTACAATCGCTGCTGTGCCATATACTCCAAATCTTCTACCGACTTCAAGCACATGGTATGTTAAATTTTTTTTATTTAAATGCATTTTGAAGTTTTGATTAATTTTGAGTGATCAAAAGTCTAACTACTGCATTTCTACAAAAAGAGGAAATAAATCTCAACAGTGATCTCTATCAGCATTTTGGAATCACTGACAAATAAATAGCTACATAGTTCAGTGATGGCGAACCTATGACATGCATGTCAGAGGTGACACGCAAACTCATTTTTTTGGTTGATTTTTCTTTGTTAAATGGCATTTAAATATATAAAATAAATATCAAAAATATAAGTCTTTGGTTTACTATGGTTGCAAATATCAAAAAATTTCTATATGTGACACGGCACCAGAGTTAAGTTAGGGTTTTTCAAAATGCTGACACGCCGAGCTCAAAAGGTTCGCCATCACTGACATAGTTCCTTGCTTTCCCCTTTTTTGGTAAGGAATATGTTTGAGGAAACTATAATTTAAGTGAATATTGTTCAACCAGCATTAAAGTTAAATTGTCATAGTATCACTAAATTACACCATCATTTCAAATTAAATTGTTCTTGCTTATTTTTGGCTGAAAGGAACTTATTTTCTTCCACTACATTTGCAGGCTAATGAAAACTACAATGCAGCAGGGTTTTTTTTTGCTTTTGTTTTTATCTTTTAAATACTACTTCAGGGTTTTCCAATTTGAATGCAAATTTGAGAGGGTGGTTTTATGTTAATTTTCATAGTTTTCATTGCTAGACAAAACAATTCGAAATTTTACAGTTTTTCTATTTAATGGTGGTATATTTTACTTTTAAAGCATCAACATGCTCAAGTTACCTGAATACCCAAGTAAAGAAATACTCAAGGACAGACTTCTTGTGGCACTGCATTGTGGCAGCTATGGCTACACAATGGCATAGTGGAGTCTGGAAAGCTCATCTGACTGCTGATGCACAGTCCGAGTGGCAGAAGTAATTTAGGAAATGTCAACAGAAAAGCAGCCTCAAGGCAGTTCATGGGCAGGGCTGTTTAAAATTCATCAAGAATCAGGTTTTCTCCCCTGCCCCTTTTCCCTTTTATGTTTTCTCAGTTTGTGATACACTTAGAAAATAGAAAATCACAGTAGCCTTCATTTTAAAGAATGCTAACTGAAAGTAGTAGAAATTGTCCTTATATTTCTTTAATCTTATTCAAGATTGTATTAAGGCAAAATCTTGTTTTACATTCCACCTCTGCTATGTAACTGTCTTGTTTAAAGGATGTTTTCTCTTTACTTTTCTGTATATTAAAATATAGTAGGACATCCAACCTGGTATGTCCTATCGCATGTAAAGTGCCATTTATATTTTGAAAAACTATTGTATAGAATGGATTAATTGAAATTGTGTATAAAGCCACAAATATGTATTTTCCCATATTGAATCTATATTGCAATGATGTTTTCTAGCTTTTTAATATTTTACTATGTAATGTAAAGTTTAGACTGATGTGACTAACAAACAGCTGATGAAATGATATCTAATTTATATATTAAAGTTTATACTATATTGTATGAATTATTTGCATTTTTCAGTGGTCAATTTTCCATATATATTGTGGTCTCATAGCTTTTCTTATGCCTTAATTTATATTTTAGGTAAACCTAAAATATAATATCTTATCATTTTTTATTTTATCAGTGAATTCTGATGACACATTTAAATAATCTGATGTGCAGATTACGATTTAAATATGTAAGTTTTTCTTAAATTTGCTTTTTATGATTAAAATGTTGAGTTCCAGTGAATATGCCTAATGTAGAGTGTTAGTTTTTAAATTTTAGGGTGATCTAATCAGTTTTTATTTTGAAAAGACACACTTGAGTAGTTACAGTATACCTTTTAGGAGGAAGTAGGAACGTGCACATAGTTAGAAGTGCTAATGGAGGGATTTGTAATGCTTAGGACTTTGCATCTGGAAACCAAAAGTAGACTCTCCAATAGCATATCCATGGATATGCATACCTGTGCATATTTCCTCATGAGCAGCCGGTATATTTGTCACTGACAAATATTGACAATGTATATGTCAATACAGACAAATATTTAATTTGTATATATGTATATAGACATATACATTGAAAGCTTTGCTAATTTATAAAGTTTCTCTAATATGCGTTTTTTGGTCCTTTTTTTATTGTGGTTTTTTATATTAAAAAATCTCAATAGATGACATTAAAAATTAGGAATTATTTAAAAATTATTAGCTCTAAAATTAAGAGTCATATGCTTTGTAATAAATGAAGCTAATAATTTTTAAATTTTGGTTTTCAAAATTTAATTGTAAAAGTGGTCATTGACTTCTATCTTTTCAAGTAACTGAGTTTAATATTACATTGCTAATTTTTCATGTTTACAAACATTAATTTGTTTTATTTTTTTGTTTTATGCTACAAACATTGTTTTCTTTTTTATTGAATGTACTGGGATGACACTGGTTAACAAAATTACACAGGTTTCAGGTGCACAATTCTACAGCACTGTATTGTGTGTTCACCACCCCAAGTCAAGTCTCCATCATCACCATTTATACCCCTCCATATCCTCCTCCACCTCCCCTCCCCCGCAATCACCATACTGTTGTCCATGTCAATGAGTTTTTCCTTATTTTTTTCTATTTTGCTCAATCCCTCCACTATCCCCCAGCCGACAACCCCTTTCCTGACAGATGTCAGCCTGCTCTCTATCTATGAGTCTGTCTCTAAATTTCTGTTTATAATTATGCAATCCATTGGCTTTGTCGGATTGGTCCTTTTGCAACTATTTATGTACAAGAGATAACAAAACATTAAAAATGTCATGGTATTTTATCCATGAATATGAATATTTTTATGTAAACCTAGAAAATTTAGGGTTTATTCTTTCACATTGTCTTCATTTTTAAACTATAAGAATGTAGTTAATATGAAAATATTTTACATGGATTAAAAATATTATTTAAACTGGAGACAGCAAGTCTTTACATTTATCCCACAATTTCTACTGTGAGTAGATGGATATGTTGAGTGGAAGGTCGCATAGAAAAATGATTAGAAATTTCTATCCCTTTGGATAAAAGATTACATAATAGGAAAATGACTTTTTAAGTCTTAGAATATTTGGTAGTTCCATATAAGGAGGAAAACAGAAACACAGAATTCTAAAGTAAAACAAATGTAAGTCAAGGGAGCATATTATAGGAAACATTAATGAAAACTTAGTCATTCAAATAGTTTGAGTGGATAGTGCCCATGTAGTTAATAAAATCCACCTTCTAATTCATCAAAAAAGCCAAAATGTAATATAATCTAAGGAAATCCAGCTTTAAAACAGTATGCTGAATACAGCCTATTCCGTGTGGGAGTGAAAGTTTTAAAGTGTAGGTCACAAGTTGGAGGGCCAACCGATGATTCCCTGTTTGAGGAAGTAATGGAGATGACTTAACCACCAGGTGAGCTTAGAACTGGACCTGGGCAATCCTCACTTCCTCCCCTGTCCTTGGAATATATGTTCTACCCAACATTCCTACAGTGGAGCCATTTTTAAGGACATAGCCTGAGAGAGAAATGTGTTGAGACCATCTGTAAGGTATATGTGACTGAGCCCAGTTAAGGCCTCTATATAAACTTAGAATTTGACAGGTGGGTGCAAGAATCTACTTGTCTTGGCCTGGCCAGGTAGCTCAGTTGGTTAGAGTGTCATCCCAATACACCAAGGTTGTAGGTTTGATCCCTAGTCAGGGCACATGTAAGAAGCAACCAATGAATGGGTAAATAAGTAGAACAACAAATTGATTCTCTCAAAATAATCTATACTAATAAAAGGAAAATATGCTAATTAGACTGGGTCGACCGGACATCTTCCGGACAGTTAGGGGACAACCGGGCTGGCAGGGGGCAGTTAGGGGGCGACCAGGCCAGCAGAGGAGTAGTTAGGGGGGGACCAGGCCAGCAGAGGAGTAGTTAGGGGGGGACCAGGCCGGTAGGGGGACAGTTATGGGGCGACCAGGCCAGAAGGGGGGCAGTTTGGTGGCGGCCAGGCCGGCAGGGGTCAGTTTGGGGGTGCCAGGCCAGCAGGGGTCAGTTTGGGGGTCCCAGGCCAGCAGGGGGGCAGTTAGGGGGTGCCAGGCTGGCAGGGGGCCAGTTAGGGGCACCAGCCAGCAGGGGACCAGTTAGGGGGCGATCAGCCAAGGGGGCCCGTTAGTGGGCCCTTTACCCCAAAAAAAAAATGGTGTTAAGCCAGCCAGCCAGCAACGAGCAATTTGGAGCCAGCCGTCCCTTTTGCAAGAGGGATGTCCGACTGCCGGTTTAGTCAGGCCTAAACCGGCAGTCGGACATCCTGTGAGGGGTCCCAGATTGGAGAGGGTGCAGGCCAGGCTAAGGGACACCCCCTGCTGTGCACGAATTTCATGCACCAGGCCTCTAATATATATATATATATATATATAAATAAGTAAATAAAGAGGGTCCGTCACATCCAAAATGACCGAAGGCTCGACCTAACGCCCAGGTAGCAGGCTCTGGTGGGTGGGGACTTGTGGCAGCTGGGATGGGGCCAGTGGAGGCGGGGCCGGCACTCACACTCACAACGGCACACACGCACAGACACACACAGCGCCCACCAGCTCACAGCTTTTTATCCCTTTATTTCCTCCCTCCCAGCTTGCTCTTGGAGCCTCTCTGAGAATGAGGCCCCAGGAGAGACTGGGATGGAGAGATGGAAACAAAACAGACTGGGCCTGAAGAGAGGGTGGGCAGAGGGTGGAGCTACCCCTGCTGGCCCCGCCCCCTCCCAGCCAGGATAGAGGAAGAGAGAGAGAGGGAGGCAGGGAGGCCTGGAGGACTGCTGAGAAAAACAGAGAGAGAGACAGAGACTGGGGAGAGACTGGGATAGAGAGATGGAAACAAAACAGACTGGGCCTGAAGAGGCCTGGATGGAAGGGAGGCCTGTGGGGGTCAGGAACTGAAATGTTTCAACAACCCCTCCCCAACTCACGTGTGGTGCTCAGAAGTGAGCAGGGGAGCCAAAGCCACAGGCAGGGATGGAGAAGGGTGCCCTCCCCTCTGGAAACTCCCAGTATCTTCAAACTGCCTTCCAAAGGTGTCCCAAGTCCCTCTTCCTCTCCGCACCATGGCGGCAGTGAGTCCTGGGTCGCCACGGTGCCCATGGCACAGGCCTCTCTACGGGGGCACCAGGAGAGACAGTGCCTGGCACTCACACAATTGCACACAGCACTCATCAGCTCACACCCTTTTCTCCCTTTCTTTCCCTCCCTCCCAGCTTGCTCTCCGAGCCTCTCTCAGAATGAGGCCCCAGGGTAGGCAGAGGGTGGAGCTGCCCCCACTGGCCCCACCTCCTCCCAGCTGGGAAAGAGGAAGAGGGAGAGAGGGAGGCAGGGAGGCCTGGAGGACTGCTAAGAAAAACAGAGACAGAGACTGGGAGAGACTGGGATAGAGAGATGGAAACCAAATAGCAATATTAAAATATTTCCTCTAATTCCCTTTTAATGTGCATGGATTTCGTGCACCGGGCCACTAGTAAAATAATAATAGAAAAAGATCTACTCATCTTGCTGCTGTCCAAGACAAGCCTCAGAACTAGTAGGTGCTTGTTAAAACTGCCACCTACCACTTGAGTGATCTGCCTTTTTTTTCCCTCTATTCTTGCCCTCTGTGTATGTGGCCTGGTTTCAGATTTTACTGGGGAAGCTTCCAAGGTTGTGTACCAGCATTCCAACTCACATGTGTTTTATTAGTCATGCCAATTCTAAAACTTTAATGAGTTATCAACATTTAAAAAAATCTGGAGAGTTCATGCAGAAGTCCAGGGTTTTGGCCTTTGAGAAATCAGACAATCTAACAGCATTGAGCACAGACTCCTGGAAGGCATTGCTAGGAGACTGGGCTTGAGTGAAAGCTGCTGCTTTCAGTGACTGAATTTGCACTCCAGTTTGCTGTTTTTTTCATCCCAGCCTGCTTCACTAATAGATGTTACCTTTCTGGCCATTGACAGCATTGGAGTTTGCTTTTAAATATCAATGTTGACCAGCCCTAGCGGTTTGGCTCAGTGGATAGAGCATCGCCCTGCAGATTGAAGGGTCCCAGGTTCAATTCCAGTCAAAGGCACATTCCCAGGTTGTGGGCTCAGTCCCCATTGGGGGGCATGCAGGAGTCAGCCAATCAATGATTCTCTCTCATCATTGATGTTTCTCTCTCTCCCCCTCTTCTTTACTCTCTGAATTCAATAAAAATAAATTTTAAAAAATCTATGTTGACCAAAAATGTTCCCCTGGAGTGTTAATTGGTACAGATACTTTGGAGGGCAATTTGGCAATATTGTATTTTAAAAATGTACACACACTCTTTGGCTCAACAATTCCACTTCTAAGAATTTATTTTACAACATATTTGTTCATGTACATAAAGATATTTGTACAAGAATATCACTGAAGCCTTGTTGGTCAGGGAAAACTGTAAACAATTTAAATGTCTATCAGGAAGGGGTTGCCGATAAATTGTTACATCCATGCAATAGAATATTAATTAGTATTTATAAAAAATGACATGGAGCTATACATACTGACATGTCAATATTTCTAAGGTATGTTAAGTGAAATAAGGTGTGCAGAAGAGTGGTTAGTGTGTAAATACAATATATATAAGGTTAAACTCAAGAAAAAATTGGGGTCAAAGGACTATTGCTAAATCTGGGAAAGCATAAAGTGGGATAACCATTTTTCACTACATAATCATTTTTCCCCATTTGTCTAAATCATAAGCCTGTATTATTTTGTATATAATATATATAAACACCCAATATCTTTAATCAAGGGAAACAAGTATCAGTAATAGCTATTATTGAATCTATAAAATGCTGATAAGCAATATTTTCCTAATTGCAGAACTTATTTTAGGGTGGTTAATTTAAAAGCAGTTCCTTAAACTCTTTTGCAAACAGTGAAAAAAGGAATGCTCCCTTGCCCACGAAGCTCTACTATATTTCCACATTGCGTGATAATTAGCACTGTTAATGTCTCCTAAAATTCTATGAATTAGAGATTTACTTGAATTTGCACTTTCTCTCCAATTCCCCCTATCCCCGCCAATAACAAAAGTACTTTTTTAATATGGGAAAATTT